AAAAGGAGCTGCTTTCGTCAACTTTTGAGGCGCTATGACCGGGCCCAGTGTTATCATGTGTTGGTGCTTGTTGATGCTACGTCCCAACATGTGCAGTTTTTTCTTGCAAAGATGAGCTCCCTGCCGAACAATTCCTTCACTTTCATGCATGATTAAGTGATTAAACCAGGTCATTCCTTTGGAAGGGTCATGAAATTTTGGGTCCTTCTTCGCGGGGGTCCTGGACGGGTGCGTTAGTTTTCGTCCTGGACTCTTTCAGGCCGTTGCGGACATCTCTGGTGAGACCACGGTGATGAAAGAGGACCTTGAGGAGACGCGGCTGGAGCGCAAGCAGTAGTGAAGATCGGTTTTTCAGGCGAAGGAAACAGTAGTTCCAAGGTCTTTGGTGGTTGACACGCTCAAAACCACCCTCCAAAAACTCTTGGTCGAAGTTGCTTTCACTTGACGTTTTCCTCCCAAAAGGATTGGGATTCTAACTTCCATCTTGTTCTCTCTTGTCGGGAGTCCAAATGAGTTCTTTGGAAGTTCACCGTTGCCAGGAGCGCGCGCCTCCGGAGGTGGTCTCGGAGCTCGCGGCCGCCTTGGTGCAGGAGGCCGTCGAGAAAGGCGGACCGCGTGGGGTGCGCGCGGGGTGCGCGTGGGGACGCAGCTGGTTTTTTTGGCGTTCAATTAGCTTCATTTGGAAAGATATCAGATTGAGATAGCTCTATGTTGTAAGGGATTTCAATTTCCACTTCCATTTCGAGGTCGCCACAGTACCAGGCCCCCCACTCCGGACCATCTCTGAAGAGGAGACGCCAGACAGATCTCCGGGTTGCCACGGTTTGAAACCCGAGTTGGAGACGAATCCAAATCGAGTTGGAGTTGAATGAACACCCCAACTCCAACTGGTGTCCCAACTCCAACTGGTGTCCCAATCAGTTTGTGTTCTGCAAAAGACATTCAGATGGTGTTCCCCGAAGCCTCGCTGGTTCGAGGGTTGACTGGTGACGGTCCTGTTGAGTCGTCTTCGCAGGTGCTGACTTCTCGCAGCACTGGCTGGTCTCCAGAGAGAAAGGTGCTGTGAGGCCGATATCATCCAGCAGTGATGTCCTTGTTACTATATAGTGATGCTTACTAGTTCACTCCACAACAACCACTCCTTGATCAACCAGCAACCAGCCACCAGCCGTGAATTCTCGCTTCCGCTAGGGTCCGGGAGAACTTCCCAGCCATTTGGCGTGAGCTGGCGTTGGCGCCGAACACGGAGGATCTTTTGGGGGACCTGGTGCAGCGCTTGAGAGCCTCTTGGGCGGAATGATGGAGTTGGATTGGACGGGATCTATTGGGACTTCTGGTGGTTTGCAGGGAGTTTGTGGGGACATACAAGTCAAAGGCATTTGAAGAATTCTTGGATGGGTTGAAGGCAAAGCTAGCTACCCCAAGAGAATAAGCAGCTGGAACACTAACCAGGTCCTTCTCTCTCTCTCTCTCTGTATATTACATATATATACACACATACAGTACATATATATATATATATACACGGCTCAAGGCTCAAGCCATTTCTGCTCAAGCTGGTCTGTCTCGCCATCGACTACGGCACTGGCCATCCTCTACTAGTACACCCCTGACGAGAAGGAGGGTGTCAAACCCTTGGAACTTCATCCCGACCCTTGCCCTGGTGACTAGTGCTTCTTCATAACCAGCTCCCTGGACCAGTTCGAAGAGTGCACTGGCATCCTTGTCCTGGCTCAGGCCTTGGGTTGGCTAAAAGGGCATCATGACGCCTTCGAGCTCTGTGGGATGGCACCGAGCGTACCAAGTATGCCAAGGATCCAATTGTCACAATTGGATTTGGCAGGACAGAGTCAGGGAAGGATGTGTCTGCAGATCTTGTGGAACAGCATGGTCCAAGCCGCCTCATGGGTATGCACCTAGGTCTCCAGCGCCCAGACTGGGCTTTGGAAACAGCAAGGACACCGCACTTCCAAAGTGCAAAAACTCACAGGGGAGTTGTTGGTCTCCTCTTGGGACAAGCTTGATCCAGGGCTTCAACAAAAGCTCAAGGAGATCGGCATCACGCCACCTCCACCAAGTCCAGAACCTGACTTGAAGGACGTGCCCGGGGACAACTTAGCCCAGCTTCCGGGCCCTGTCAAAGAGCTTGTTGAGAAGATCACCAAGCCGCAGCCTCTCTCACACGAAGCAGAATCTTCAGAGCAAGATCGATGCTACCAAGAAAGCCTTTCAAGACCTCCTTGAAGAGATGAAGCACATCCAGACCAAGATAGAGCAGGAACAGGCAGAACTGAACACCACGAGTTCAGCCTACATGTCCTTGGTCCGCAAGCAGCCTGACCCAGTACAGTTGTGAGAGGAAACTGACGCCAAGGATCCTGTGCCTGAGGCAGTTGCTGGATTCATCAGCACCCTTGGTGTCAGTCTCACCCAAGAGCAACACGAGCAGCTCAAAACGATGCTCAAGCGGCCTCAGCAGTCCAACGAAGAGGACACCAAACGTCGCAAGACGGGTGAGGGTGACAAGGACATGTCTTGTGGGTAACACGCCACAGCAGGCCTTGCAGCGTGAAGATGACAACCGCATTTTGAATCTGGCTTTCTCAATGGCTTTTCATGGAACAGGGGAATTTTCAGTCAAGTTGCAGGGATTTGGACAACTTCACTGAATCTCAAACTCATGCGCTTTCGGACTCAAGCTTCCACAGCAGAGCCCACCCAAGGGCTTACGGACCTTGGAGGTCCACGGATGCGCCCAAAGTCAAAGGGGGCGCAGTTTTGACGACGGTAGCCTTGGAAGAGGAGGCGCCGGCCACTTCTACCTCAGAGCGGGTCTCCAGGGACACCGCTTCAACCGGGACCTCCAATTCTCAAGCGCTTGCCCGTCTCTTCACGGACATTGGAGGACTACAGCGAAACCCAATCGATGAAGCTCAAAAGCAGCTTTTTCAAGTCAGTCAAGCAGACCTTCAACGGTCTTGCCAGGCATATGCAGATCATCCCACTAAGGGTCATGGGCAGCAGCTGCTCTCTGACTTACAGAGAGTCGAACACCTTGTTCACAGGCAGTTGGGATTGCAAGGAGATCTTCCTCACATCCAAGCCAACACGGCCCTCATTGCCCAAAATCTCACCAGCATTGCAGCCAATCCTAAGAACCTATGCCTGCTGCCTTCAGATGCCGGAGCTGGCTCAGCAGTTTTGTCACCGAGCCCACCATGATTGGGGGCCGCTTGCATCAAGTTTCCGGACCTTTCTTTCGACTTCCAAGCCTCTGTTGCTCACGGACATACCTGAGCTTGCTGATGTTTGGTCACACTTTGATGACTCGACTCAAGAAGATGTTGGGGAGTTTGTGGGTCATCTTTGGTGCATGGCCAATCCTCCCGTAATAGGAGGCAAATTCTTCCACCAGCGGCGCAACGGAATCCTTGAAGAACGGGAACAAGTGCCGATCAACCTGATTTTCCCTCCGGGTCAGGTTAGGGCCTCCCTTGAAGAGATTGTCAACCTATGGGCGAATGAAGATGAAGTCCTCCATTTGCAGCGGTTTGAACAGCAACCACATCGGGCTTGCTCTGGCCAATACTGATGAGTCTCCAACATGCTCACTCCAAGGGATCAGGGCCTCTTTCGCAGCCTGAGACAAAAGGACATCCCATGGCAGCGTCCCTTTCAAGATCTTCCGCTCATGGAGAGACTTCAGGCTCGCAAAGAACAGTGGGGAGCCATTTGGCAGCCGGTGGATGAGATTTGAACCGGAGTGTGCAGATGACAGCTCGACATTTACAGTTCCGACAACAGGGAAGCCAAGCGGGGAAGCTCCTCGCCATGTCGTGTTGTGGGAGATGCCAAGCATGGTTGCAGACAATATTCTATTTTTTGACCGCGTGGAAGACCTGGGGCCATTTGTGCTGCTATGTCGCAGCTCGGTAGCTGAAGTTGCTCGCTACACAAGGGCCTCGATTGAAGCTCACCCGAAGCAAGGGCTGGTAGCGGCGGTCTGCCCTTCCAACTGAGCTGAAGCCACGCCTGAGCTGGCAGAACTACTTGGCAGTCAGGTCTTTGTTGATGCCGGTTCAGTTCGCAAAAAGTTTCATGAGATGTATGCAGAAGCAGATGGTGAACTATGTGTGTGCGCTGTATCCCTGGTTTGAAGTTGCTCAAAGTTCATTCCTTCGCATCAGGGCACCGAGTCTATTCAAGACTCTAGCAGAGCGGAGCACCGCCCTCCGTCCTTTGATCGCCAAGCACATGTTAAGCCTCATGGGAGATTCGCGCGATAATTGCACAAAAGCGCGAGCTCGAACCGTGCTGGCGTGTTGCAGTCCGGGCTTCGGGCGTCTTGGCACGGCGTGTGTTTCAACATTGTCCGTTGCAGCAAAAAATTATGAGAAGGGCGCTTGGGCTGCTTTGAAGCACGTGCTTGACACAGAGCCACCAAACAAACATCCGAAAGCATCAATGACTTTGAACGAAAGCCAAGACAAGGCACAGACCTCCCCTGCTGTATTGGTTGACGTTTGGCAATTTTTGCCCAAGTGGTGAAGATGAGAAACGCATGGTCCGACGACCCTTGATTGTGGATCCGGTGATGCGCGGAAGATGTCTCAGCACAGTGGACAATCCGACGGAAACAGACGTTGGAACCCGACAGTTTCCTCTAGCGGCGATGCCACAGAAAAGCGGCTGTCTGAAATCATCCTTTAGCCATAACATATATATGTACACATACACATTTTCATACGTTCAAGGATGATCACCAACTTTCTTGGTCTTGGTCATCTCTATAACAGCATATATATATATATATATAAACGAGTACCTTTGTTCGTTTCTCTGTCGGGGACCCTGTAATATGAGCATCGTTCCTGAAAACGGAAGAGTCACCCTGCAGTAAAACTTCAACAGATGATCTGGTACCCTGGTACCCAATGTGACATGGGTAGGGCACAAAGTCCAGACTCAGTGCTGCGGGGCGGATCTGGAGTTAACATCTGGTGCATGGACCAGTGACCAGAGGTTCACTCGACCAAAAATCCCCCCCAAAAGGCTTCTAAGGAGCAAAAACCCTCGCGAATCGCCATTGAACATGTCCAATCTTCTCAAGGCTTGGACGCTCTCCTTGGCTGAGTGCTCCACGGCTTATTCGATCGCAAGGTGACCAGGGGGGCTTGGGTGGGCTTTGTAAGGCCTGGGTGGGCTGGTGATTGGTATTTGTCTGAGTGGTGAACATTTTTATTTGCAATGGAAGACTGCAGTGTACACCCTGTTTCATTTGCAGCTTTTCGGCCTGGGCCCAACAAGTCACAGGGCTGTTCAGCAATGGAAGTACTTGAAATATATGTGAACAGGTTTGAGTATGGGAATCAGAACGCTTACGTAGTTGGTCATACTCCCCCTAAAGGGCCCATTGAACACCATGCTTCCAACGGCTGCAAATACCAAGTGCGAATCTCTTCATAGACTGGAAGTTGTTTCACAATCGCACGCAATAGTGGTTTATACTGAGTAATCAAGCGACATTCCCTTAACTATTGATGTATTTCTGCCTATCAAGAGCCAAGATTGGCATCCTGAGAAGGTCTAAAGAGAACCCAGAAGACGAACACGAACCCTCTTTCCGTAAAGTCCTATATGACTGATGTTTTTTGCAGTTATTTTTTTTAAAATGATTTTCGCAATCATCCAACCATGTGCGGAAACCACCAAGTCCTTCGTGTGTAGTCTTGGTTCATGGGGTGGCTCTTCCCGTTCGACAGAATGCCGAAACCGGGGCAGAATGTGTTGGCATCTCGTGTGGTGGGGGGTTGATTTGTACGAAAGAATTCCGACCATCCGAGCGATTGAGGTGGTATTTTCAAGCAAGGCTGAAGCAGAACGGGTAAGGTCCTTCTTTTGCCCGGGCAAAACACATTCAGCACGATTTGAGGTTGCCATGCTTTTGGAAGTCCCAGCATTTGGTTTTTGGGGAACCTCTACAGGACAACTCCTAGTTTTGGGGAGTGGAAAGCCTGAAAGCCATATTTTCGGAAGGTCAACCAGTTTCTCCACTCAAACCAGTCTCCGAGGCCAAATCCGTGGCATCCGTCACGCGGCGACTGTGGCGGGCTTGGGATTGGTGGAAGGCATGCAGATTCAGCTCCTTGGGCGGTGGACCAGCACGGCGAGACGGGGGAGACAGAGATCACTGTGTATCACATCTTCTTAAGGCAAACACTTGTTTAGTTTTTTTTCTACTTCCAGGAACTTGAACCAAGGGTGCTGCAGAGATGTCACGGAATGTGTCCATTGCGATTC